ATTCCAGTGGTGGTTCTGACAAGTGTCGTTGGCATCTTCCCATCCGGTCACATGGGCGGCAAGCCACTCCCACAAAGGAGGCCACACCCACAGAGTAGGTTCGAACAATTTTTGAAACCCACCACTGGAATCACTTAGTGTAACATGTTAAGTGAATCTGGCTTCTTCTGCTTGTCAGAAGGTCATAAAAGGAGATTGCATAACTCCAGAGCACTGAAACTGTCATAAATATGAGTCAGTTGCCAAGTGTCTAAATTTTGATCACGTGATCATGGGGGTGTTGTAACCATCGTAAGTGTGAAATAAGGCCATAAGCCACTTTTTCAGTACAGTTGTAACTTTGGATGGGCACGAAATGAACTGTGGCTGGTCGGGGACCACCTGTATATCAAGCATACTTGCTTAAAAAATATTTTTCCAATCTATCATTAAGTGTTCCAACAACATAACACTTTGCTTTTATATAGATTTACTGGTCACACTAGCAGGGAATTGTGAAAGCTGAACACATAGCTGAAGGATATCATGTTGAGTAATGCTGCTACAGAAAATTCACTGCTTGTGTTAAATTTGTTTTTCCCACTGAGTTGGTGAGTACAAAATTGAACCTTCTCATGGACATACTACTGTTTGAACATATATGCCAAAGCCATTCAAAATGATGAACTAGCACTATGACATCTTAGTTCGAAAAAAGCCCCAAAGTGATCTGTACCCATTAGTAATTTGTGTTGATGCATCATTTTCCCCAATGGGGAAGCAGCTAACCTTGCAGAAGTATAACGACAGCTATCAGTCAAAGATAAACATTGTGTTCAAGTATTCTTTTTTAAAAAAAATAGTTGGAATCATTGTGCATGGAGAGGGAGAGAGTTGCCATATACATCTAAATAATAACCACAGATCATTGAAGCTTCCATGAATTATACTTAATGAGTTGTTAAGTTAATAAAAGTTAATAAAAGAAAACTAGGGACAAGCATAACTATTTAAGTATTTAATAAATTTATAGGCCGCCCAATCCCGAAGGACTCCGGGCGGCTTACAGAAATACATTTCCAAAAATAAAAAATTAAAATAGAGAGAATTAAAAAAAAACAGATTAAAATATCACTTCATACACTCAATCTAGGCGGGGCTGGACCTCATTCATGTGGTCAACAGCCACAGGCCTGCCGG